GGGGAAGAGGAGACGGGGCCAAGGCCACTTAGGCCTGCCTTGTTTCATTTGCTTTCATCCTTAAAGTGCAAATACCATAAATGAGAATGATAATTAAAATACGATGGAACAATCTCTGAAAACTGTGATTGGTTCTCTCACTTCTCCTGCATAAAGGATGAAAGATGTCCTAATTCCCTCTCCTCTTCCACTTCCCCACCTCTATGACCATCACAACACAGACAAACCCTGATTACCTGCAAGTATTTCAGGGTAGGTCCCGCAGACCCTGGCAGCCCTGGCTGAGGCCTTGTATGGGGGAGGGGAGGAGCAAGGGGGAGGGGTGTGCATGGGCGGGTGATGCAGTCTTAAAGGTAACGATTAGGGACACAGTTTCCTTTCACTGGCTTTTCAAACTATGGGTCATGAACCATTCAGTGAATTGTGAATCAGTTTAGTAAGTTATGACGAATATTAAAAGAAATAAAATATAATAGAAAATATCAACACATTTTTGCATCACCCTGATGTGGTAAGGGTAAATACTGTTTTACGAGGCTCTTGTCTGACTTTATGTCTACACACATACACACCTGGGTAATCATGTAAAATGTATTTCTGACTGTGGGACGCAGTAGAAAATATTCAAGAAACTGTTGGAAGATGTCAAAGGATTTTGAAGTTTGAGAATGACAGGGAACAAAGGCAAGGCCAGTAGAGGGCACCCTATCTCCTTTTGTTGCCATTGAGGCGTTTCTCTCAGGATGCGAGACAAACTCCTGCCCACAAGTGACATCCCCCTCTCTTGCTCTGGCCGTGGGTGCCTACTGCTAGCTACGGTGGCCTCTTGTACATGATGGCATGTCACCCCTTCCTGGCCATCTGAGTTTCCGTACCTGGGCCTATGGTCAGTTGAGCTGAAGCTCAAATTCTACAGAATTAAGACAAAACTTAAAAGCTTGGCTCCTTGGTTGCACTAGCCACACTTCACGTGCCTGGGAGCCACAGGAGTTAGCTGCCACTGTGTCGGACAGAGCCAGATATAAGACACGCCTGTTGGCCGAGAAGGTTTGATTGAACAGCTTGCGTTTGGAAGGAAAGGCTGAGTCATGCCACAGACCACAGTCACTGTGAGGCTTGGGTGCATCCTTTCATTTTACTGTTAAAGTAAATTCCTAGTAGTTTTCCTTTTTGTCAGTGGCTTCCTTTTTGCCTAAAAACCAAGTGAAGGAGAGTGCTTCTGGGTTTGATTTCTGATTACTTGGTAACACGCGCACCCCCTGCCTGTCCTAGTGACGGACCCTGGGGCACCGTTAGCAAGCCGCACCCATCGCCCTGCACCTCCGGTGAGGCTGCTTTGCTGAGAGGCCTTTTACTCATCCTCCACAGCCCCCATCGCCCACCACCGCCGGGTTACTCTTCTCCCAGCTGCCGCTGCTCCCCCCTGGGCCCTGGAACCATCCTCAGAACAAGGCTCTGGCTGGACAGTGTCAGGAGCTCAGAGTCTGACTCTGTGAGAATCCGCAGCAGGGACAGCTGCCACGGCCCTTTAACTCTCCCCCCCGGTTCTGTTTAGAGAACGTTTACATATTTCGAGAAAAAACCCAAGAGACATGATTGGGCACTTGCCCTTAAGAAGTTTAGAGTTTTGTTTCAAAGAAAAACGAATGAGCACAAGCTGGAAGACAACAAGAGGCACTCTGTAAAGTGGCTGAAAGAAATTTCTGGCCCCCAAACTGTGAAAGGCTCCACACCTCTAACTTAGTTGCAGGTTTTCCACTAAAGAACTTTTCACTGGAGAATGGTTATGACAACACATATCACCCCCATCTCCTGAGCATGCGCGTGAACATGGTCACGGGGGGCCCCTGGCCGAAGCCTGGTTCTCCCCACGGAGGAAGTGACTGCTGAGAGAAGAGCGCGGCTGAGCCAGTGTGTGTGACAAGGCTCAGGCTCTCCTAACGCCATCCCGTGAACTCGTCCCAAATGACACAGTTGGCTCGTCCCTGGGAAAAACTCATCTCTCAAAGCTTAAAGATTCCAAAAATGTCAGACTGGCTCACTCTGAATGGATTTCTTGTCTCAAGAGATTCCTTTCAGAAGGCTGGGTGCTGTGGCCCACCTCCCCTTCAGTGTCTGGTTCAGCCCATTCTCTGCTGATTCCAGCCAGGACAAGCAGGGCCGGGAGCACTGCATGAGTAGTGTGGGTTTAGGAGGCAGAGTTGCATCAGTTGTGACAGACCTGTCACTTAGAAGCCATCTGATCCACTGGTCTGTCAATGACAGAGACCTAGGTTTGTACCCTGGAAGTGGCAGTTGTTAGCTGTGTCTGTGGGGCTGTTCTTTGGCTATGGTCCTCTGTATTCTCATCTATAAAATGGGGTAATACCTACTTTCAGGGCTGTTATGAGGATCTGGGCTGTCACACATGCTGGAGCTGCACACACACACAGAACCCAGTCCAGAGTATCGACTTTGCACTGACCCAGACCCAAACTGCTCCAAATGGATGTACGACTAGTGAATGAAATAATTTTAGGGTATAAATGCCACCATCTTCCATGGACTGCTAGTGCCAGACCTGCTTATTGCTCCCCTTAGGTTTACAAAAGGTTTGCAAATTAAAACTCTCTCCAGTCCTGGCAGAAGAATAAGTCCCTGGTCAGGCTGCAGGAAGTGTGCAGCATCAGTGCCACTGCTTCATGTCTTTGACCCCCCAAATTACTCAGGTGCAGGCTGGTCATGTGGATTCTGACCTGCAAAATTGGGGAGGGCTGGGTGTCTTATCATCACCAACCGAGGTCTCTTAAAAATTACTCAACGGAAACAAGAACCACATTACAGAGCGGTAGAGGCACACATTGCTTGAGCAACCTGCTCTCTGGAACAAGCTGACAGAGCATCTCTGCTGGTGAGTCACTTGTCTTTCTCTTTATAGTTAGAAGGCAGGGGCTAACCCCAGGTTGGTGGGGCTCTCAGAGCTCTGTCTGCAGCATGGTTTGGTGTCAAATGCCCAGGCTTTCGGGCTCAGCTGTTCTCGGTTCAAACTCCATCTCTACCATCTGCTGCCATGAGGGTTAGATTAGAAAATGACAACCTGGTTCTGGGCACAAGGTGCTCTGCCCGTAAGATGGTACCAATAGAAATGGCACAATCAGACCCTCCGCGGGAGATAAGGAGAGTCTAATCACTGTCTGTGTTTATTGACTGACTAATCTCTTTTTCTATTTTTCTTTTCCATTTTATAAGACGGGCTGTTATCTCAGAATAGGGTTTATTTTCTTTTTGCCATATAAGTCAATGTACAGCTAAAGCAACTTTGTAAAATACAGAAAAATATAAAGGAGGAAGGGGAATAGGTCACCCCTGATTCTACCAGCCAGAGATGAACTGCTGATAAAATCTGGTCATTTTTCTACGTTTTAAAAAAATATAGTAAAAATCATATAGCTTGCCACAGATTCTTAAACAAGGTCCAGAGTACATGGAGCAGTGGAATTTATACAGTTCACGAATCCCCAGAACTGCAGGCATGTATGTACATTATTACTGAGGGAAACTGTCTGCAGCTTTCATGAGGTTCTCAAAGGGATTTATGATCAAAGAAGGTTGAAAAATCACGGTCAATTTTACATTCGTTTTGTCATCTATTTGTTGTCATGTAGCAGCCGTTTTTTTGGTTTTTGTTTGTGCATATCTACTTTGTACTTAAATTATTTAGAGCAATTTTAATGTGTTGTATTTTCCAAAATCATTAATGGAATTTCCTAAACATTTCAGTCATATTCTATTTTATGTCTGAATTAGACTTTGCTTATTTATTTATTATCAGACATGTATACTATCTCCAAAGTTGTGTATATTACTTTCTTTTTAATTTTCAGAAATCAGCATAGGACTTTGGTTGTAGGAGATAAAGAAAGGCATGGTTTTAACATTTCTGGAAGGGGAAGTACAATTTTTTAATACTCTACCTGCGCAGAACTGTGCAGTTCCAATCTGTTAAATATCATTTAAGTTTACCACTTACTACAAATGAATTTGCATGGGCCCTTTGAAGAAATTGTGATGCCAGCCTAAGGATGCAGCAACAGCCACGATAGGAGAATTTTTTTCTTTTTTTTAAGGCAAGAGCAAGTCAAACAATAATGGAGGTCTGACATAACTTTCAAGGAAAGTAAAGCTGCCTGTTTCATATTTAAATGATGAAAAATACATTTTTGTCTCCATGTGAAGCAATAACACACATACATCATCTCACCTACTTAACCAAGCAGCCCAGAGCTGGTGGGACTCCATGTCTACCGGTGGCCTATCACTCTCAGAGATCTAATGCTCTGTGGTCTGCGAGGAGGGACTTTTCATGGGGCAATCTTAGCCCAAAGGCAAGGTCCTTTTTTGGAGAGAAAGGGTGCTTTGCCCCCAGGAAAGACCAAGGTGGCAGCACCTGAGCTGACATGGTTTCCAGTCAGAACCCAGCATCAGGAAAAGAAAGGTTTCTGAGGAGCTCAGAAAGGAGAGATCATCTTTCCCTTTACATGCCCCGTCTAGTGAACTGATATTTTGACGTTGTTAAACCAAACGCCTGCTCTTCTTAAAACATCTCCTTGAGGCGCCAGCGGGATATAGCACTGGGTCACTGGAAGAGCCACTGAGGACCTGCAGGTCCCGGTGGCAGGGGCTGACTCGGCCCTCTGAGGCCAATGCTGCCCCTGCTCCCACACCACTGACTGCATCACCCCTGTGCCCTGTCCGTGGTCCTCAGCAGGCTCACATGGCCAGGAGAAGGGTCAGAGGGAAGGGATAACCTAGATGAGCTGGTCCTGCGGGTGAGAAAAACAGCTATTTGGTCTTGGCTACAAGCAGCCCCACTGAAGGCTGGCCACTGCCTGGCTGTGACAGCTCACCCACCTGACATCCTATTTATTAAAGAAGCCCCCTAGCCCTACACTGTCAGACATAAAAGCTAAAGCAACGTTCCCTTCAGGCGAATCTGTCTTTTAAGAGATTCCTGAAGATCAAAGACGTCTTCAGGAAATGAGGCCAGGAGGGTGGACTGTCACACTCTGCGACAGAGGATAAAGGGGAGGGCTGGGGCTGGGAGCGGGGAGAACCACCCGGTTCCCTGGTCAGGAAAGCCACCCAGCCAAAGTTGCTCCTCCACACCCTGTTTCCCATCAGGGAAGACACGGCAGGATGGGGGGCACACCCAGGCAGAAGGGGCCTGTCATCCCCAAACACCTCTTGGTCTCCAGGAGTCTCCATAATGGTGGACCCCCTGGAAGGGGGAGACTTGCTTTCGCTTTTGCCATTCATTGTCCTGGGGTCAACTTCACAGAGAATGGGGCACAGGCTGGGGGGCAACTGCTGCGAGGGATAAAGACAGGCCCTCCCCACCAAAGAGCAGCACAGCTCTTCCAAAAGGACACTGTCCCCATTTCACCACTTGGGGGCCTTTGTGTTCAAGACCATTTAGCACAGGACTTTATGGAATGTGCGTGGGGTTGGTTATGTGTTGTCTCACAGACGGGGCAGATCCTGAGAAGTTTAGGGCTAAAGAAGCGTCCCTCATCCTGTCTGAGCACTTCCCCCTTGGAACTAGCTGTCCCCAGTATCCTGGGCTGTGCTGTTACTGAGCAGAACAGTGGGTGGATTTAGGAGATGACTACCTGCCCCATAAATGAGGGCAAGGGGACAGTGGGAAGATAGGAGGTGTTACTCTCCCGCCCCAAATATAATCCCTGAGGTTTGACTCCTAGGGGTCCACCAGAACAGACACCATGGACGAGTACGATGACTATGCAGAGTACAGTCTCTTCAATGCTTCCAACGGCAGCAGCCAGGACCACAAACACTTCCTGCAGTTCAGCAGGTTCTTTCTGCCCTGCATGTACGTGGTGGTGTTCATCTGTGGCCTGGTGGGGAACTCGCTGGTGCTGGTCATATACGTCTTCTACCAGAAGCTGAAGAGCCTGACAGACGTGTTCCTGATGAACCTGCCCTTGGCAGACCTGGTGTTTGTCTGCACTCTGCCCTTCTGGGCCTACGCAGGCATCCATGAGTGGGTCTTCGGCAACATCATGTGCAAGATGCTGCTGGGCATCTATACTCTGAACTTCTACACGTCCATGCTCATCCTCACTTGCATCACCATGGACCGCTTCATGGCGGTGGTTCGGGCCACCAAGGCCTACAATCAGCAGGCCAAACGGATGGCCTGGGGGAAGGTCATCTGCTTGTCCATCTGGGTGACCTCCCTGCTGGTTTCCTTGCCGCAGATTATCTATGGCAAAGTTCATTACCTCGACAAGGCCATCTGTGGTTATCAAAACGCGGAGATTTCCATCATGGTCCTGGCCACCCAGATGACCCTGGGGTTCTTCCTGCCACTGCTTGCCATGATTGTCTGCTACTCAGTCATAATCAAGACCCTGTTTCAGGCCCGAGGCTTCCAGAAGCACAAGTCTCTGAAGATCATCTTCCTGGTGGTGGTGGTGTTCCTGTTGACCCAGACGCCCTTCAACCTCGTGAAGCTCATCCGCAGCACAAGCTGGGAGTACCACACCATGACCAGCTTTCACTACGCTATACTGGTGACCGAGGCCATCGCCTACCTGCGTGCCTGCCTTAACCCTGTTCTCTATGCCTTCGTAGGCTTGAAGTTTCGGAAGAACTTCTGTAAACTTGTGAAAGACGTTGGCTGCCTCCCTTACGTGGGGGTCTCTGAGGACACTTTCAGGACAACTTCAGCCTCTCACAATGCAGAAGCCACCACCATGTTCCAGATGTAGGCCACGCTGGGCCTTGGAGAGGCTGCTCACGAATTCACAGGAGCACAGCTGCATCCTCTGGACGCCTGAAGGAAGGCTTTGTGCATAGCACTCGCACAGGGAAGCTCCCGAACGCTGCAGCTGGGGCAGGTTTCTCGTCAGCCATGGACAGATTCTGCTCTCTTCTTTTACACTTGGCCTCAAGCTCAAGGGGAAGTCTGCAAACTGCAAGGGCTTTCCTTCCTCTACCCTGAGAATACTGACACCAGCAAATGATTTGTGACTCTCAAGATCCCAGCTCTCCTTCACTGGGACTGGGACTGAAGGCTGAACAGGGGGACATGGCCAACAAAGGCCTTGATGCAGGTGACAGTCTGGGCTCCCAAGTTCAGAAGATTCTTCTGGCTACTGGGAAGCAGGGGAGATCAGGGCAGCCATGAAAACAAGTGCTGGCCCGTATAATTCAGACCCCAATTACCAGGCACCGATGGACATAGGCTCAGGGACTGCCACACCTTGGGGATTTGACTTTTACATAGCAGATGCTTTATGTTTTCTTTAATCCTGGAAGGACTAGCACCAGGGAATACGAATGGGCCAAGGCAAATCAAGGTGGGCTAAGAATTCCAGTGGGCGACAGGATGCCAGAAAATGTGCAAAGCAGAGTTTAAGACTGTCATGAGTCTAAGCAGCACTTCTGAAATAGATTCCTGGTGGGTTTGCCCATTTAAAAATTGAACTATGCAATGCCACACACACTCACACACACAAACGCACACATACAAATCATACATAAATGTATATATAATATACACACATTCATATCAAACAGCATATGATTTTTGTGAATAACAAATAAAACTTTTAAAAAGTCTCTGGACTGCTTTCATTCTCGGGCACAGTCTACCTTTATGTATGTGCCTGAATATACCAAGAGTGGTCACGTGCAGGCTCAGGGCACAAGAAGTAAGTTAAAGCTGTCAACTCTCAGGGCACCGCTCTATCAGTAAACCACTGCTAACCTGGCTCCTTCACTGTGGCTTCCAACCTCCTGCCCAGAGTGAGAGGTGCGCTTGTTTACCTCGGAGATGTCGTCACAGGATGAGGCAGAGTTCTAAATGTCAGACACTTGTTTGCGCATGTTTATTAGGTCCCAGCAACCTGCTCAACAGGCTTAAAGTGGTCTTTTTGGCTCACGCATCACAAAAATCATTTGTTGAAATATGGAGAACCTGCTGACAACAGCTAAAGAGGGTGCTTGGGGAGGTGGGGTGGACGGGCTTAACAGTGAGGTTTTGCGATGTGGATAGACCTGAGTCATGAGCTGGTAAGACTAGCTGGTAATCTCTTACTAACTTTCACTTTGGTGAAACACGGACCCAGCAGTAATACCTCTCAGGGCGGGCGTGAGGAGGACTTGAGGTAACGCTCACAAAACACTTAGCACGGTTTGTATTCGTGGGTAGACGGGCTTCCCAGATGGCAGTAGTTGATATTACTTCTCTCAGGAACTAGCAACACAAAACATTACCTGCCTGTCTCTCTGAGCTGGGGAGGTGTGGGAGGGTTTGCTTCACACCTCAGAAGTGCCTGGCGCAGTCCAGCTGCACACAGGCTGACCTTGCAGGGCCCACGGGATCCCATTGACTGCTTCTTAACATACCTAGATGCACCCACAGGGAGGGCTGACTGGGGCAGCTGATGTCCTTTAAAGTCCAACGACCCCCATTTCTGGGCTCTCAGATGTCAGCCTGTGACCCCTCAACTGATGAAGCACATTCTTTACTGGGCATATTTGCCCTAACAAACTAACAGCCCTAGGTAATGCCTAATCTCACAATAGCTCAGGCTGGCTTATTTCAGCCCACCTTAACAGAGTCTTAAAACCCATGGCCCTTCACAGACCCTAAACCTTTACGTCACCTACAACCAATCTGAGTCTTGTGCGCAAGCCGATCAGGCACCTTGTGACCCGACCTCATAAAAGACCCCCAAAACCAGCCCTTGGTGCTCACACAGGCGCCTCTCATCTGTATGGCCCTCTGTTGTCTATGGCAGTGTGCGCTACTGAACTCTTCTTCTATTCCTGTACTTTATCTCTGGTAAATTCTTTTACCACCCTACGTCACCATGCCACTGATGGGCTGCCCACAACAGGCTGCTTTACTGTACTCAGACTGCCCTGTGCTCCTCAGATACCAAAATCTGCCTCTTCCTGGCAACAAGGCTTTTACCTTGTTTACACTGGCTTCAGGGGGATAGTTTTGGTTACCTTCCCCTGTGTTGTCATCTTAATGTCAAGTCCTTCTGGCAGAGGGGCTGCCAGCCCCTGACTTCCTCAACAATGTCCCAGAACAAGAGGCAGAGGCCCTAACTGGGCATGAAGGAGCCAAGAGTCAGGGAGCCAGGGGCCCTGCGGCCTCTCCACACGTCCCCACAGAGGAAAGCAGTGTGGTGTGATGGGAGCAGGGCTCTGGGCTGACTCAGACGCTGGCTCAGTGAGAGCCCCACCACTGTGTGTCCTTGGGCAAGCCCTTTCACCATCCACACTACTGGCTGAAGACAGTCCTCCCTCCAGGAGTGCTTGGGAGGTGTGGGCAGTGCACTCCGAACCAAGCTGGGGGCGGAGGGCCATGGCATTAGAAGGGTAGCTCCTGGGACCACTGGGTTCTCCCCGACCAGGTGCCTAGTGGGCTGAGTCAGCCTGTGCCCCATCCCAGGCCTAATATATCCTTTCTCTCCAGGCTCCTTGCAAAAAGGTTTTGCCCAGGCCCTTCCACAGCTTAGGAAAACCTGCCCGCCTGTCCCCAGGAATAGCACAGCAGCTGAATCTTTCTTCACCTTCTTCCCAGTCACTTGTTGATCCTACACCCTCTGGGCCCTCACCTGCTACACTTAGGAGCAGATACCATTTCCCCAGTCCCTCTCCTGGGTACACACCATTACTGGCAACTGACACTGGCACAGCCCAGGCAGGTTCAGAGGGCTTTGAGGTCTTGACTTCACTCATCCACATGACAGCCCTGTGGAGCACTATCTCTCAACTTCAGACCTGCCCTTCTCCTCCCCTTGGCTCTCCCCTCTGCTCACACACACTAGTGCAAGATGGAAGAGGCCTGCAGGGTGTGGAGGGGGGTGGGGGAGGGAAATCCTAGGGGCAGGGGCGGGCTAGGTGTGGACCCTGGGTGAGTCCAGTCTGCCCTCGGTGTGGCCTCAGGGTCTGAGGGCAAAGAATGTGCTCCTCCCCAACCATGTTCCCTGCCCTTGCAGGCCCGTGGGCGGGATGGTTAGAGGCCACTGATGACTACACCCCCGAGACGTGGTGAACACAGGGTGACATTGATTCCAGGGGCTACCTGGAGCCGGAAGCCCGGGAGATCTCAGTGCGCATTCTAAACTAAGGGAATAGTGCTGCAGGAGAGAAAAAACAAGCTGCCCCTACTGGAGGGGTGGAGGCAGAGCAAAGAGCACAGGGCCCAGGAGTGGCCAGGGTGCTGGCTCTAGACCTGTCCTCTCAAGACGGCACCCCCAGTCGCTCGCTCTCGTTTTCGGAGACGGCGTGCACCCTATGGAGTGTGTATCTACTTTTACTTTAAACTAAACTGCAGCCCCTCCCAGTGCTGTGTGGCCTCTCTGGCCCTCTGACATGGCCTACACTCTGTCTATGGAGTGTGATCTCTCTCTGAATTAATCTTTTACTTAAAAAAAGAAAACAAACAAACAAAAAACAGATAGCAAGACAGCACCCCCTTCCACGTGCCCAGTCCTTCATGATCTGTACTAACTCTCAGCACCATTCCGTAGGAGACCTGGCACTATCATCCCGTGTTCCAGATGAGGAAACTAGTTCAGAGACATTAATGCCTGCTGCCAAAGCTCACACAGCAGAGCCAGGGCTTTGACTCCAATGAACAGCCTCTTTCTCTCCCCTCAGATGCTGGCTGACAAAGGTTTCATGCAGCTGATGGCCTAGGATACCTACTAGCTCTGTATTCATCTGGAGGTGGGTTAACCCAAGTGTGAGGTGGCTTCTGAACCTTAACCATCATCATCATATCCTGTTCTCATTTTGCTTTTGAGGTACCAGGCATCAGTCTCTCAGTTGGTGACAAATCCACCACAGCTCCCCAAAGCACACTGACCACAGAGCACCTGCTCTAAAGCAATTCCTGGCAAAGATGCTCTGTGGGTCAGGGACGGTCTCCGTGCATGAGTTTGAGCTCAGTATCTTCCGGGAATCAGGTGTGATTTTCCTTGGTGAAGACAACTGAGCTACAAGGTGTGAAGGACCAGGGCCCACAGCAGTAGACACCGCAGTGTGGCTCCTGACCCTACAGCTCAGGGAAAACACCATGAAAACAATGCACCTCCACGGACAATTTCCTACATCATGTCCATTCTCCTAATAACCCCAGGGGGTGGGTGCCACCCCCGTCTCTTAAGATCCGGACGAGGGAGGGAATGAGTTCAGGGCTGTGGGGCCCAAAGCGATGGAACCTGGAGGTGCAGACCAGAACCAGACCAGGCGTGTCTGACCCTGGAACTTAAGCTCCTTGTGGCCACAGTCTGCTTGTCTGGAAATCAGGAAGTGAAGCTGGGCCTTGAGAAGGCCATGGCTGATGGAAGCTAAGCAGAGGCCAAGAGACCCCAGGCCAGCCCTGCTGCTGTTGGACAGAGCTTCATTTGGTTCTCTGCCTGCCTTGGGCCTGAGAGCAGCTGGCACCTGGTCATGGAGATGGCTAAGGTGGGCCTGGGTGAGGGGGGAGAGGGCTGTGTATAGGCACGTCTGCAGGGTCCTGGAGAATATGACCTTTTCACCTGAGGTGATCGACTGTGCTCCTGAGCCACTTTTGGGGGCCACCGGGAGGCTGCTTAGGGATCTGCAGTGTCCCACCAGGTCTCCCCAAGAGCCTGGGTTCTGAGACCTGTTCCTGCCCCACTGTGGCCAGGAGGGGCAAGGCAGACAACTGTGTTGACCCTGAGCATGTGCATGCCGGGAAAGGACTGGGCAAAGGAGCAGGGAAGGTGGACAGGTTTTTGATGTACAGATGGGGACATGGGGACCTCGAGAGGAGCCATACTCCCAAAATGAATCTCCTGCCTGTGGACTGGAGGGAGGGGTTCTGGGTGTGAAGCTTAGTTTTGATGCTTATAGTCACCTGAACTTCAGCAAGTCACCTGGCCTCCTGAGGCTTTAGCATCTTGACCTGGAACAAGGCGATCATGATCCCTACTCCTTGAAGGGTTAGGTAGGGACTGAGTGAGGTCATGTGCAAAAGCAACTATACAGGGAAGGTGCTTTTAACAACACTGCCTCCAAGCAGCCTCCTTTCCCCCAGATTAGGAGTTTCACACGGTTCAACCTCTCTAGGACCACATCCTACTTCAGACTTGCTGATTTCTTTCTCAAAGTTTCTTGTCAGGGATGCTTACACAAATTCAGGCTCTATATCTGCCACACTTTCTCAGACTCTTGATGGTTTTGATTGGTCTTAAGCTTAGGAAGAAAAAAGACAAAGAAAAAGCCACTGGAGACACAGGGGTCTGTCTTCAGCTAACACGCAAGGAAGGGGTGAGATGGAGCAGGCCCAGAACTGACCTAACTCCTAAAGAGATGGAGTGCGGGGACTGCAGCCTGTCTGTTTGTCCGTCCGTCAGCCCTGGATCTGCCTTGGAGGCCTCGGGCCGGCATGCTGGCAGTTCTCTTTCACTGCAGTGCTTCCTGATTTCCCATGTCCGAAAACACATCTATTGGTCAGCAGTCAGAAGACCTATTTTTGTTCCTACTGGGAAAGGGGAAGGTGAGGGGTGAAGAGAAGGCGGGAGCTGCAGGGGGCACTTTCTCACACAGGTAAGAGTCCAGCTCTCAGGCTCTGGTCCTGCTCTCCTGCTCACCTGACCCCCTTCCCCCCTGGCTGGGAGTCGAGGAGGCACAGCCAGGGAAGAGTTGCCAGGTGACAACGGCACAGTGTGGTTTAGCGCAAATGAAACGGAATGTGCCCGGGGGACCACTGGGCCGTGGGGTTCGGGGAGAACGCTGCAGGCTCACATGGCAGGAAAGGTTTCAAGGCAGTGTTTCCGAAAGGAAAAGAAAAGGCCCACGGTCACAGAAGTAACAGTGAGCATGGGCTATCTTGGGTTGGGTGATGGGGTTGGCTTGATCCATGAGGGTACAACAAGGCAAGTTCAGTCACTCTCTAGTAAAGAGAACAGAAGAGTACAAGACATACACTTGAGCCTAAAATCTCCTGTGCTGAGAGCCTCACAAAGGTTAAGTGCATCTCTTCCATGAAGCAGAAATCCTGGATGATAAATCTGACAGATCAATCCCAGCCCTCCTCTGAGTTCTGGGCAGGAAGAGAGGAAGGAGATCTCAATACAAGTCGGCAAGAGCATCACAAAACTCCCCAGCTGGATGGAATGTGGGTCAAGGAAAGCCTGGGCGTGGGAGCCTTGTCAATTCTCCCTGGAGCGTCTCAACAGGTGGTGCTTTGCGCAGAAACTGCATTTAAGCCAGACCCCAAGGGCTGAGAAACACCAAGCGAGGCTGCCATGGAGGGGAACTTGACTTTTCCCATGGGTCCCCGGCTTAAACACAGCGTCTCTTGATGCTGTGACACTGTGTGTGGTTACTTCATATACTTAGAAAGCAGGCCTTGCAGAACTCTCCTCACAAGCCTTGTTGGAAAAGCCCTGACCCAGAAACCCGAGAGGGCCAGTGGAGAGCTGGTGTGAAAGGACCCCCCGTGCCTGATGCTGTCCATCTGTGGCATCGGGAAGGTTCTGTGCGCCTGGGTCACTGATTGAGAGCAGCACAAGCTACTCGTGCTGGGACAGGGCACAGGCTGGGTGTGGGGGAAGTCCTTCGGGCCCACAGAGTGCAGGGTCACAGACTTGCCTGTACCTGTACTGCTTTTAGAACTCTGGGCTCGTGGGGGGCTTAGCTGGAGCTCAAGGGACTTCTGAGAGGAACATCCGTCCGAGACAACTGACACTAGATCCGAGCTTCCTTTCTTGTGGCACAGTTACCAAGCCAATGAGTGGTTCCAAAAGATGAACGTGGTTTTTAGAGTAGTGTGTTGCTACTCTGAGCACTGGAAGCAGGACAGCAAGGGTTACTCCTATGGGCTGAACTGTGCCGCCCCTATGCTGACGTCTCAACCCCTAGTACGTCAGAATGTGGCTGGTTTTGGAGACAAGAACTTTAAAGAAGTAATTTAGTTAAAATGAGGTCAACACGGTGGGCCCTAATCCAATCTGCCTGGTGTCCTTGTAAGAAGAGGAAGTGAGGACGCAGAGAGACACCAGTGCTGCATGTGCATAGGGGCACGACCATGTGAAGAGACAGGAAGAGAGCGGCCATCTGCAAGCCAAAGACAGAGGCCTCAGGAAACCGAACCTGCTGGCACTGTGGGCTTCGACATCCAGAACCGTGGAAAATAAATGTCTGCTCTTTATCACCCAGCCTATGGTGTTTTGTTATGGCAGCCTGAGCAGACTAATACAGCTGTGCAAGCCAAGAAAAGCCTTGATGGAGACGCTGAAATCAGGAGGACCACTGACAGACACACCCTGGAACTCGCTAACGGCTCAGCTCCGAGCCCTGGTGCTCCACAAGGGCCACTCCATCCCGAGCACTGTCCTGAGGCACCTTTCCTCAGGCAGACACAGCCAATCCTGCTTCCAAGCTTTCCCAATCCTTCAATATGACAGCACAAGGCCAGACATTTAATGACTGCTCAGGAAATGGAGGTGATGTCTACTCACTGTTCGGCCACATTTGGCTCAAGAGAATCCGTTTCGGTGGGTGTTTCAGGCAAGGAGGAGCCGGACTCCTGTATCTGGCACAACTCCTCATCTGTGATGATGTCAAACACAGCGTCGTCGGGCGGCCTGCAGTCTGTGTTTGCACCTGGAGCACAGAGGCAGGTCGGCAGAGAAGAGGAACACACAGTTACTCATGGGGTGCGGAGGGAGAGCGGCTATGCAGGACGAGCCACCAGGGCGCACTCGAAGTGCTCACTCAACTGACAGCTTTCTGTCCAGACGGCGAGAAATGGTTGTTGGGACCAGAAAAGCAGGGGAGAGGACTACAGACGAAACTGAATGCGCAACGTAAATGATTCCTCTGAAGCCTCTTACGCAAGGGCTTAGGAAGGTTTCAAGCTCTCACATATTCTCTAAGGCTCCTTATTTGGAAGGAAAAAATTTTAAAAGCCTATCAAAATCTTATCCGCAAAGAAGCTGACGAAAAGGTAAACACACTTCCTGCTGCTGAATCCCTGCTCCATCAGATGCAGACATCTTTCATGCCTCTTTGAGAGCATGGTTCTGTCTGACCTGCATTTTCACCACAATCCGCTGGCGAGTGGGAAGGAACCTCCCCCAGCTCAGGGAGCTGCAGTAACTACTACTGTGCTTCTGACCAGGAGACTCGTGGACGACTCTGTGGGCTGCCCACTAGGAAGGATGCAGTGTGGAAGCTGCTGTGCCAGTTGTCCCCCCAGTAAGCACTCTCTTGCACGTGATGGAAAATGTGGTGGCAGGTCTGAGGCAAAAGGAGGAAAGACCGAAAGAAGACAGACAGACAGACAGACAGAGGAGGAGACAGGAAATGTCAGAGATCAGAACAAGTAATGACAGTACGCTGGCACCGTGCCACCCTCTGTCATCATTGGAACATCCATCAGTAAGCCAGGCAAGGGGAAGATTCCTGGGCTGTTCAGCAAGGAGAAAAGTTCATGTGAGTTATGAGTTCCCAGTGGGCCCTGCTATGTGGCTAATGGGACAGGCCATGCTTTAGAAGGAACATTCTTCCTCTTGTCTAAAGTCTGCAAGATGGAGGGCTTGAGGCATAGGCTGAGAAACAGGACCAAGGATTGGTTTCTTTCCATAGACCCAGCCACACTCCTGAATCTGCCTTCCGAGGCTGGCAGAGGGAAGGAAGGGGAAGGGGGAAGGGAATATGAACAACAGGGATCTAAAATGATGCCCACTAAGAGAAATCAAAGGAGACTTAAATAAACAGAGTGCTATACCATGTTTGTGGATTATAAGACTTAATCATGTTAAGATCAATCCTCCCCAAACTTATCTAGAGATTCAATGCAATCCCAATCAAAATATTAAAGGATTTTTTTGTAGAAATTGACTAACTGACTCAAAAATTTATATAGAATGGCAAAGGACCTAGAGTAGCCAACAATTTGATAAAGAACAAAATAGAGTATCCACTCTGGCTGATTTTAAGACTCATTATGAAACTATGATAATCATAACAGTGTGTTATTGGTGAAAGAAAAGGTACATAAATAAATGGAGTGAAATAGAAAGTCCAGATACCAACCCACCTATATAAAAGGCAACCGATTTTTAGCAAAAGTGCAAAAGCAATTCTATGGGAAAAGAACAGACTTTTCAACCAATGGTGTTGGAACGATTGGCCAACCATATGTAAAAAATGAATCTTTGGGCATAGCTTGAACTATATAAAAAAATTAACTCAAAATGGGTCATAGATTCAAATGAGAACCTAAAGCTATAAAACCTTGAGGAGAAAAACAGATCTTTGAGTCCTTGGGTTAAGCAAAGGTAAACATGATACTAAAAGAACAGAAAAAAAATCAATCCATAAGGGAAAAAACTGACCAGACTTCATCAAAATTATAAACTTCTCTTTAAAAGAAAATTTTAAAAGAGAGGCTATCAATTGAGAGAAAATATCTGTAAAACATATATCTGATAAATAACTCATATCCACAATATATAAAGGACTTTCATCTCAAAAATTCAAAAAAAAAATACTAATGATGTGCAAAGTACACCTTCCCATCCCTGAGCAGATCTTTGTACCCAATATAAGTAACAGGGCCTGCCATCTTCCTTGATGATCCAGTTAAATGAAAGAGGAACTAACATATTTCTGAAGGCTGGCTGGCCTGGATCCAGGCAGAGGCCAAGGAGGAGTCCAGGGGACCAGCTGCAGGAGGCAGTGATGTTTGAGCACAGGTGAGACTCAGTTGCCCCTGCCATCTCAGCTCTGTCTCCCTGGTGCTCTAAGTGCCCCAGAGGGCAGCCTAGGCTGGTCTGCAAGGCTGTGCTCAGAGAAGCAGCAGCAGGAACAAAATCCCACTTCCTTTTACTAAGCTGAGTGGAAGGACATGAAGGAGAATACATCTTCCTTGGCTGCTAAGAGAGAATGTGAGCTCCAGGGGAAGGATATGCTCAGATTCAGCTCCTGGCCTTTGGTTACCCTGGGAGAGAGGGCTGGATGCTGGGGCTAGGACCCTGGGAGGCAGTGTTTTCCAAGGTGTGGGGTGCGTTTCACTGGTGGTATGTGAGTTAAGAGGTAAACAGACCTCGTGTTAAAAAACACTGAATCATACCAGAAGGAAGTTATTCCCTTTTCAATTCTCTTTTAATTCTAATTACATCAAAAAGAAAGTCTCAAATGGGTGGTACTACCTTTTTGGTGCCTAAGTTTGGAAAACATTGAATTAAGCTGGTTCCAGCTAACCAGCCACAACAAAACAGAAGTGGGGGGTGGCACGTGGGGACACTGAGCAGCAGCAGGAGCCTGACCTTGGCCTCCGGAAGCCTGGAGCCCAGCTTGGGCTGGTGACGGGGTGGGGCTGGGCTCTCCCTGGCTGGTGCCCGAGCCGGTGCTGTCAGGGGAGCCAGGACCTTGGCTCAGCTTCTGGAAGCAGGCCCGACAACAGCGCTCCCTCTTGCCACTGTGCTTGCTCAGGACGTAGTTGTTGCAGCAGTAGTAACAGAAGATGCGGCCACATATCCTGGGGACAGAATGGGCATGGGCTGTGAGGACGCCACAGCACAGGCCTCACGTGACCTGTTCGGCACCGGAGCTGGGCTCTGTGCTGGGCTCTGGACGCTACATGTCTGGTCAGAGCTGCCTCTGTCCCCACCCTAGGGTATGGCCTTAAGATCATCTTGTAAGATTCCAAGAGAGCCATCCTGGTAAGCCCAGTGGGACAAGGTGTTATCTCCTAAGGTCCTGAAGGCAGGCCAAACCTCCCCTTCCCTGACACTGTGAGGCAGGTGCCCATCCCACGCCTCTGGGGCTGGGCCTCTAGGAGACCACCCCCCGCCCCCCTGTGCTGACGATCTCCATCTGACCCCAACCCAGCCCAAGTGCCATTCCTGCCTGCCCTTCTGTAGGCCCTGGGGGGCTGGGGTCTTTGCTCTCTGTGTTCCTCCAGAAAAGTCCCAGCCCCTGCTCTCTCTGGGAGCCGATAAGGCTGTTTCCCCTCCAATTCCTGCAGGCCAACAGAAGACAGAGAGTTGCTGGTCTCTGGGTGCTCCACATCCCTGTGCGCCCCCTTAACTCTGCCCACACCCCTGCATTAGACTCTCTTCCCATTCAGGGATCCTTGAGTGTCCTGCTGGGACCCTACCTAACACACTCTCCTTGACTGTTTCCCTTGAAACCAAAGGCTAGATGGTTGGCTGTAGTGCCAATGCCTGCCATGGGCCCCTCCTTCAGAGCCATCTGCTCTGGTTCTGGGCCCTGTCCGGTGCTGCCTGCTGACCTGCAGTGGTGCCGCCGCACCATCCAGCTGAACTCCCGCTTGCAGTCCAGGCAGTGGTTTGCCTCTGTGTCCCCAAGCCACCTCTCCTCAGCACTGAGCTTCTGTTGGAATTCCAGGGCATCTGACTTCTGCCAGAGAGCATCCTTGTCCCTGGGCCAAAAACGCATTAGAAAAACAGAAGAAGGAACCCATGAAAGCAATAGAACTATCTCTGGTTCATTTCAAAAAACTGCTTCCGAGCTTCCCAAGACACAAGGAGAATTCACTTTTATCTTGGAAATAACCCCTGCTCTAGGTCTCCTGTCATCCCGCATTAGTCCCAGACTCAGCAGACAACACACACATCCTTATTTGACACCACATATGCAAAGGCACAGGGGAGGCCTGTGATGTCTGTAGAAGGCTCTAATAACTGCAAAGAGCTGCTGGCATTGAGCAGATCACCCACTGTTCAGGCATCTAAATGACAGTGCATACGGCCACTGGGAGTTTAAGCTGTCACGTGCTGCCATGGTTACAGACAGTCCACGTGTTGTGTTGTGAGCCCAAGGGCATGAATAGACTGCCCACGTAAGTCTTAAATGTGCTGGGGATCCTTCAAGTTTTTATGATTTGTTTACATAACAATTAATGGAAAAGATTCAAACTTCATCCTGAAAATCTGTCGGGATGTAAATCTCCCCTACTCCTTAGAGAGATGGCACAGCCACTGCAGGAAGCATGCAAGACTAAAAGAAGTGGGAGGCTTTTCAGGAAGGTCTGGCAGCGTCCCGATATGCCCAATGCACCGGGGAAGGTGTGTATACAGACTTTCTTATTGCTGCTAATTTTGGGGGCTCATGGCTTCTGACACGGGAAGGTTAGTTTGTTCCTGGATGGAATCCCAGCTTCCAGCCTGAGGGTTAATGTGGCTCCAGCAACACCTCAGCCACTGATGACTAAAACCAGAGCCACTTAGGCCCTGAGAGAAACTGGCTCCATCACCAGCTAGGAACTCCAAGTCAACCACCGACCTTTCCCCTCCAATACAAAACCAGAACATGGACTTGACTGGCTTTGGAAGGATGTTTGGGATTGTCAGGAAGCAGGAAGATTCATTCTCTGGACCAGCATCATTTTCCTATCTGGTCCACAGCTTGTCCTTTCTGTCCCTAGGAGGCTGGGCCCCCACACCCTTGGAATGTGGGAATGCTGTCAGAACCTTGGCTTTTCCATCACAAGCCTCAGGAAGGTGTCTGAGCTCAGAGGTCACAAATGCCTTGAGTTCTTAGTCTGCAAACTCATGACATGTGGCCAGAGTTTTTAAGCTTCCAAATAAGTTATAATTTAATATTATAATTTCAGAAACAAATTACTACATTTAGGCATTGCTTATACACAGATGCTAACACTGCAAAGAAAGGGCTAACCAGATCTTACGTGGCTCTTGAAGGAAAGACCCAAAACTATAAACCAATTCTATGAAGTGTTATGGACAAAATTTTGAAACAGTCTGAGTAAGCCTCTATTGGAGCAGTGGTTTTCAACTCTGGCTCACTGATGCCTGGATCCCATTCTCCAAAATTCCAGTTTGGTTGGTCTGGGTGGGGTCTGGACCTGGGCATTATTTTAGTAGTTCCCCTAGTGATTCTATATGCATCAGGGGTCAGAACCACCACTCTGGGTTTAACTGTCAATTTATAGGAAACACAGAGGATGGAAGAGTATGTTAAATGACACCACTGGGATGCAATCAGCAAAGCCTAGGCTATGGGAAACTACCAGCTGAATGATCTGGTTTCCTTCAAAGTAAACTGCAAAGGAAAAAAAGAGAGAGATGGTGGGTAAACCATACACTAAGTAAGAGAGATCTAAAAACACCTATCGCCATGCAATATATACATCTAATTTAGATCCTAATAAGAAAAAATTATAAGCAATTGGAAAAATTTCAAACTGACTGGATACTTGAAGATGCTAGGAATTAGTTAATTTTTAAGCATAGTAATGACATTGTGGTTGTTTAAAATAGAGAATCCCTGCCTTGGAGAGATATGCACTGAAATATTTGCAGATGAAATGATGTGATGTCTGGAATTTGCTTTAAAATAACCTGGGGAGGTGGGGGAAATGGATGGGGCCCTGGATGAAACAAGGCTGACCATGCCCTAAATAATGTTGAAGCTAGGAGACAGGTACACAGGGTGCATTATGCTAACCCATTTTTGTGTTTTTGAAAATTTCCATAGGAAAAGCTTTAAAAGAATTTGGAATGACTTGCCAACATTTAAAAGTCAGGCCAATTTCACATAAAAATCCAGATTTCCACTTTCTCTTAAGAAGTAAGGTGATCTGGCAACCCTGGGCTCGGAGCCCACATGGCAACAATCAGCAGGAGCAGAGCACACTGTGTCCTCCGGCTTCTCCAAGCCCTCTCCTGGCCCAGTTCACACACTTACATCACTGTCTGCTACCTGTAGGCACCGGAGTTTGGGACCCCAGGCACTGGGGAGAGTGAGATGGAGGAAAAATAGCGTGAAAGAGGGGCAAGGGAATGGAGAAGTCCTTGAAGATATTAAGCATCAATGGTCATCACTCCTGTGGCTGAGATTCTGAAAACAACTAACAAAGCAACATGAAAACAGGATGAACACTAGTGGGAACAGTGAAATTCACTCTTCGAAGGTTACCAAGGGCCTGGGCAGACCCTGTACATGTCGAGGGTGGGGCAACAGAACACAAGCAGACGGGAGCCTATTTCTCTCAAAGAGTCCTTTCAAGAACAGCTGCGCTTCTTTAAGGAAAAACCAAGGTCGGAGGCGACCTGTTTGTCCTGACACTCACCTAAGCAGCTCTATCAGACGCTCCTCCAAGTACTTCTTGGTTCTATTCAGGTCATCCAGGTCAGCGAGCATCTTCTGGTCGTTCTTCTCCCGGTCTCTCGTCTCCTGGCAAAGTCTGTTGTAATACTCCTGGATCTTTGTCTTGGCTTCTTCAAGTTCCTTCTGGGTCCTGGTGGAGGAGTGGTAAGTCTTCCTGATCACCCACTACTTTCGGCTTCCCCTGTGCCTCTGGGCTAACCCAGTCCTCTAATGAGGGGCCCCAAGGCCCTCCATAGGCGGAGCCCCTTGGCACAGCCTACTCACAGGCTGTACACTCTCCTAGCCTTCAAAACTCCCCTCACACCCCCAAACTCTTCACATCACTACCCCCCATGCCAAATACAAGGGGCATTCTGGGAGAGCAGACTTCAGGTCACCAGGTGCATCCCAGGTGGGTTGAACACTTGGTTCTTGGGCAGAGACTGAGGTTGTGAACCTTTGCCCAATGGGTAAGGTTCATAGGCTGGTGATGGGAAGATATGCAAGAGGAAAAAGGAGTCAGGACAGAAAGAAGAGAGGCGTAGCTTCCTGGAGGTGACCACACAGAAGACGACCTGTCCTCCATGTGTCTTTGGGACTCTACACATGGGGCTTGGTGCTGGGCACACAGCAGGCACTGAATTCACACTGCCAGGAGTTCGACCTGACAGCCCTGAGGCCTAAGGAACTCTGTTCTGGGCGCTGCGGAGTCTCAGTCCGTGGCAGGGGGCTGGCTGAACCGCGGTCTTCCCGCCCTTGCCTACTTCTTCTTTGGCTCGTCTATCCCCTAAGGCAGTGGTTTCCCAGGGATGCTTTATAAAGCAAGGCATTCATAAAAGCTCCATTACAACAGGGCTCCGCAAGGCTAATTAATTTGTACCTAATCCAGTTGTCTTTCTATCTCCAGTATCAAGTGTCAAGAGGTTGTTTACTAGACACTGATCTCATGGGTGTGCACACACTTATGCACAATGAAAAAAATTAAGTCCAACCCTGGGCAGGTGGGTTATGCAACTTTAAACAGCTAAAACAATCACTCTGAGATCTTGCAAATAACTAGTTCTAGCATTAAAAAAAAATACCTCTGACTTAGAAGGTTCTCGCTATTTAAATTATTACGTGAATACAACCTGGCTAAGGGCAGCCAGAGTCCTATATGATTAGAACTCTGGAAGGAAGAAATGTGCATCCAGGTTACTGAACATCCAACATGCTCTGGATCTCCCACTGAGCCAGGGCCCAGGCCTAGAGGCAGGGGTAGGAGATGCGTAGAAAAGTTAAAGCTCCAGGACAATTTGGTGTGTCTGTCTTTGCTGGAGGCACAAACACAATCGGGTCCTAGCACTTGCGGCAAGACTAATTTGGCCACATCACAGACGGTGGGCTGATGCTTATAACTCTGGGCAGCCCCAGAGCTTGAAGACGAGGAGGCTCAGGAGGCCTTGGGGCTGGACAGATAGGGCCATGCTTTGCAGCTAACACAATCCTGATGACAAGGTGACACATGATGCGCTCCAAAGACACAGCACTGGAGAGTCTGCAGAAGGACAAACAGCTCCTGGTTCCTGGGACGCTCACCAACTCTCGCATGAGCTTGGGAGAACCCCACACCTAACCCTGCAGTTTCTCATTTCACAGGGAAATGAGGAAGAACTCAAGTCAAAACTCCACAGTGGGGAAAATATACTCACACACCAGCACCCTAAGCAAAACAAAACACAAAACGATCTGTCTGTATATTTTCTAGGGTAATTGTTGAGAAAAAGACTCTGGAGCCAAACGTCTGAGTTCCAATCCTACCATCATCACTTACACACTGTGTGATTCTGAGAAAGTGACTCCACTCCTCTGGGCCTCACTTTCCTCATCTATAAAATGGGATAAATAATAATGCCATCCTCACAGGAGTATTAGGAGGGTTAAATGGGTAAATAAATACAAGTAGTCAAAATGGTACCTGCCACATTTTAGGCATTATTTAAATATGTGCTGTTATGAGTACCATGATTATATCCCAATTTTTATTCCACTTCAGTTTTTCCAGAGCATGAAGTTAGTGAACTACAATATGCCCTGCTGGAGATGAGATGATGGGATTGAGGGGGTTCCACAGCTTTCTTGGGGCTGAGACAAGCAGACTGCCAAGGCCCATGGGGCGTGCTCTGGCATAAGCACTTTCTGAGTCTGTGGCTTTTCTTGCAAAAGGACTCCTTTAACCTGACGTGCGTGGCTGACTTTCTAAATGACTGCACCAAACACCCTCTTCCTTGAAAACTCTAACCCCAGCCGTGTGGGCGGACCGCGTTGCGTCACTAACCTGTCCAAGTCACGGCGCAGGGCAGCCCCCTCCTCGTCCTTCCTCAGCACGGCGGCCTGGCACTCTGCGAGGTGCTTGCTGGTGCGGCTCAGCTGCTCTCCCATGTCTGCCTGGGCAGCCTGGCATGGGACAGCAGCGAGAAGATGCTCGGCTGCAGAAGACCGTGCAGGATGCCATCGAGTGACTGGCCTACCCTCCACATCACCTGGCTGGGTCACTTCTAACAGGAGGGGCTTTTGTTTGTTTTTAAGTCCAACAGACCAAGAACTAGCATGTGTGAGGAGTGGGACAGACTCCTACTTGTAGTTATGCCCCTCAAGCATCAAGTGCAACGGGTTGTAGTGGCTGGAGGGGCAGCAGGTGTCCAAATCTCCAAGGTGGGAGTGGAGGTGGGGTGGCAGGCAGCAGGGTTCATTGACAAAGGTCACTGCCCTGAAGACAGGTTTCAATGCCTCTCCGGCTCTAGCTCAGGTCAGAATTGCTGACTGCAGAGAGTATCTGCAGAAACGACTAAAGGGGACAATTTCTTTCCTTTCCATAAGACACAGGGGCTGGTGAAAAACCACACTTGGCAGCTCCAGCCAGGTGTCCGGTGGGGGAAGGACCATGACACAGACCCAGGGTGTCTACAAAGGTAAGCTAATGACAGCTTCCGTTGGGGCACTGGAAATCCTACAGGGAGCCTGCTCTGATGGTCCAGTGAAAGCCAAGCCAGATCCCGTCCCCTGGCAGGTCCACACCTTGGGAGCGGAATGATTAGGCAGAAGGTGGGCCGGCCACTGCTCAGGGCCCGCAGGAGCACTTCCCCTGGGCCTCGGGGGCCCGAGCCTACCTTCAGCTTCTCCACAGCCTCCTCAGCGGCCTGCAGCTGCCGGCCTCGCTCCTCCAGCTGGCCCCTGAGGCTCCTGCACTCCTCACTGGAGGTCTGGAGAGGACAATAAAGGGATCAGGAAAACGAGGTCCTTGCTCTGAGGCTCCCTCAGCCCCATTCCCCAGAGGCGTAAAAACAAGCTACCTCTGTCTTCCCCAAATTCAATAAGCTTTAGGCTTCACCGGTAACACAAGGCTGTCAAGCTTAAGAAACTCAGCTTGGTCCTCAAGCTTAGAATTTCCTTTCTGCCAGGGAAAGGGTGGCATATGAGCCACAGGGATCCACATGAGGTGGGGTGGCACCGGATGGGAGGCACATCTGTGGAAACACAGGAGTTGCCCGAGAGAGGGTCAGGAGTGGTCTGAGAGTACACGGACCCAGAAGCAGACATGTGATAAGCATCGGAAGCCAAAGGCCCGTGGCCGTCTGCCCGTGTCCTCACTCTTAACCCTTTTTCTCCGTGCAGTTCAAGGCACCCGGTAATTGCTGTTCTCATAAGCTCGTCTATCCCAAGGGCTTTGTGAAAGTGAATTGAGTCAGTTTCCTACAACTGCACTTGCTACCAGGATGAAGGGACAGAGAACCCAGGGACAGGACCTGAGGCAGTCAGGATCTCACATGCCCAAAGGGGCTGGACAAGTACATAAACGAGCATCAGGAAAATACTAGAGGAAGCAAGAATAAACAAATGGGACCTAATGAAACTTACAAGCTTCTGCATTGCAAAGGAAACTATAAGTAAAACAAAAAGACAACCTCCGAAATGGGAAAAAATTTTTGCAAATGAAACCGAAAAAGGCTTGATCTCCAGAATATATAAGCAGCTTATACGACTTAGTAAGAAAAAACCAAACAACCCAATCCAAAAATGGGCAGAAGACCTAAACAAGCAATTCTCCAAGGAAGACATA